GTGTGCGAAGTAACAATCGCAACGGCGTAGCTGCCTTAAGCACTCTGGTCCAAGCTCGGCGCTTCAGCTTTTCTTTTACCCACCCTCGCCACCCTATATGGGTTTCGGCGGCGGGCAGCTCGCAGCGGGCCGGTGCTGAAAGTGCGCACCCGGCGCCGACTGCAGAGACTGCACCTGCATGCCGAACGGCGCTGCAGCGCATCCTACCACACGACGAAAAAGAAGAGTCGTCCAGTTTTGGCGTCGAGCTACAGAGTGCGGCGGTTATTGAACTTAATGCACAAGGGTTCGTAACAAGCGCAGTGCCTATTGTTCTTTCAAGGTTAACACCTTTACACCGTAATTTACATCTCTTCTTGCCAAACAAGGCAATGCGGCAGCGGCAATGGCGGCTCCCTTTACCGTGGAGCTGTTCGTGAACATATCGCTGGATGCCATACCTGTAGGCCTGCAACAGTTTGTGGCAACTCGAAGCAGCTGCTACTAGAGTGAACTGGAGCCGTCTGACCAACATGGAGTGCGCAGCGCCAGGCAGCACTAGCTCCAGCAGTATGGCGGTTCTTGTCGGCAGCTTCCCCACATGGTGCCTCAGTTGTATTCCAGCGACCGTATATTGTTGTAGGAATTGCACGGACAAAGAGATCATGCCGGTTATCTCTCGGCCAGTGTCCGACAAAGATGCGGTTCGTGTGTAATGCATTGCAGTAGCGTCACAGAAGGTATTTGGCTTTGCGCCGAAGCTCGGCTGGCCAGGCACAGCATGAGCCCAAGATGCTGAATTGGCGAGTTGCCAGCACCAGTGTATAATTTGGCTGTAATCCGCTCCGCATGTGCGCATTGTTTTCCAAGGCTCCTTTTCTATCACAGCCGCATAACCTTGGCTTCGCATCTTAGCGCGGAGGTGTGGTGTGGCGGCATGACGACATGTGAATACAAAGTAGATGGACACGCTGAGTTGGAAGCACGTGCAGGACAGCGTGATTGCATCGAATCCTGTTAACTGGGACAACAGCCGACAAGCTTGGCGCCACGTGGCAGTGGTGGTCACCCCAAATCTGGCATCGACGCACAATGTCTTCTTTTTCGTCGATCCTCGGCATGATTGTCGTTGCATTCTGTCCTAACCAGTCTGGTTGAATCCCTGGCGATTGAGGATGGGGAGCTGGCATCCTCAGGGTACCGTGTCGTGTCTTTAATCGACATCCTCGAAGCCCCCTACATCGCTCCAGCACACCGGGATGTTTTCCATGTCGGGCCCATCAACGTGAAACGCTCTTCGTCGGCAAGGTGCATGGTTTGGGGCTGGGGCGAAGCTTCAGATTTGGAGCCACTGAAGGTTTTCCGGAGCTCCTGGCTGCCGGCAGACCCTACTATGACCTGCCCTTGTACATGGGCCAGTTGGATGAAGTGTGGACTGCTTAGCTTGGCCAATCACAGGTAATAGTGTCCCAACCTCAAGATCTACGTTCAAGACTGCAGCAAGCACAGCCATGCACACCAAAGCAACGCCTTTCTCCAGTGCCGAATCCAGGCGTGTGCACCATGAAGCCTTGGACGGGCTGACGCTCGGGTCACAGATCTCGGAGCTGCGACGCCGTGCGGCCTGCAATTCGACCCTTGGCCGATGCAGAAGCATGAAAGCTGCACACGCTTGCAGGAGATGCCCCTGCATCCTTGCAGTGGTCTTTCGAGAGCCAGCACGTTGTTAAGTGATTGGCTGAGGCCCTTTGAGCGGCTGGAGGGTTCCACGTGCCAGGCCTTGCCCAGGCCGAAGAGTTTCAGCGGAGATCCGGTCGGCCTTGGGTCTCGGACTTCGGTCTCGCCACTTTGTTTTTGTTTGGCTTCTTCTTTCTGTGGCCGAAACAAAACGCAGTAGCTGCAGGGCTGTGACCAAAGACGAGGAGCGTAGCAAATGTCGTATTGGAGCACTCTGCTAGGCTCACGGCTCCCAACACCAGCTCGGAGCGATCAGAGTGCCGAACGGGCTACGAGCTTTGCGGTGCATTGCCTGGAATCTGTGTGGAAGCTTGCCCAGGCTTCTTGGAAGCAGTAAATGGGCCATGGTTTCCCTTGAACACCGTTTCAAGTCAGAGCATAGTGGAAACTCTTGCAAATCGAGATAGCATTGGCCGGACCTTGCATGCTTCCACTGCGCCACAGGTACTTTGCTCCGTCAGGCAGACTGCTCCTGCGACTGTCCGCCGGCCTACTTCCAGCCAGCACCTCGGGAAGCTGCCATAGCTTTTGCCATCTTGCTCTCACTCTCACACGATCGCAGTCTACCAAGTGGGACAACAGACGCTTGCAGGGCTTTTCTGCTCTGATTGCCTGATCTGGGACGGGTAGAACACTGTCTTGATCTTCTGCTAGTCATGGAGGACTTGGCTTGCCTCTGCCATCCACCTGACTGGATCTGGTGAAGTGAGGACGCCAGCACAAAGCATTATGTGTCATAGTGATGCACTCGCAGACTTTACTCCCACAGCGACCATTCACCACTCGCCGCGCATGTGTCTGCGCCAGGAATGCGACAATCTACGACGCAGAGCATACCATACTTGGCTCAGTTGGCTTCGTAGCGTTGCCTCAGCGCATTCCTCTCTCGCCAGACCCATCCGAGGCCGGCACAAAACAGGGACATGAGACACGGTAGTTTTTCGCTAGACGGAAAGTCCCTCTCCCGCAACACGCTGCGCTGCAACTTGCAATCAGACCTTCGAGATGCGTGCAAGGGATGCTGATGTGCTCTTGACAGCTGTTTCGGAGGTGGCTGTGGTGGAGGTTTGGGGTGGTGCCTCGGCCAGCTATGTTTCACTGGAGGCTCGCCGAAGGGTCCCAGCGTTTGAAGCAAGGCCTGTGCAATGTTGGCAAAGCATCGTGGAGGTGGAGACGCCATCGCCCTCCAGTCAACGTCTGTCGGTGGCTTCGTATCCGGCCTGCAGCAAACTAAATGTAGCGGACAGGAGTAGTGGCTGAGGCCCGGCTTAGCTGCAGACGGTTCGTGCTGACAGCAATCCTATTGTTGGCATTCTGACGAGCCGTCCGTGCTGAGAGTTGGAGTGAGATTCCGCAGCAGATAGCCCCACAATGCAAGGCTGCACGACGTCGCCTTGAAGGCGAGGACTTCGAACAGGGTTTGAGATGTCATGGTAGGTCCATGGTTGTCGACTCAAGCAAGCCCTTGTTTCATGTAACCTTTGATGACCGGCGTCGAGACTCAGAGGCTTCATTGTATGTGCTTGTGGCAGGCCGATCAACCAACTTTGCTGCATCACCGCCGAGTCCTGGCCCATGCCGACCCTTCCTTGAGCTGTTCACGCTGCTCCGGGGAGGTGCTTTGTGCAGCTTCCTGCTTTCCTAGATGGGTCGTTACCTTGAGGCTCATCTAGAAACTCGCTGACCTCCATTCGGGGGTGGGCCGGGTGGGTCCATGATGCGAGTATGAGTGCCGCTTGTGGCAGGCGCCGCGATCCGCGCTACCGCGGCAGGCCAGGGCCAGGGCCTTCGACACGTGGGGCAGACCGTTACCTGGTTCTGTTTTTTTCCAAAGCTGCACTGGGAGACGAATGCAGTCGCTTGTCTCTTCGTGCAGGACGCGATGTCTTGTCGCTGCGCCGATGGCTACGGTCCCAACCTGCTGGGCAAGTGCGTTCCGGTCGGTGGGCCACTGCAGTCGCCGGTGATCAATCTGGAAAATGGCACGTACCACACCGCGGGAACTCGCGTTCGCCTCTCCATCCCACCCGGCCAGGCCAGTTCGCAGAAATCGGCATGGATCGAGTCAGTTGTAGTCTATAGTCTATAGTCAGTGAGTGTTTGAAATCATGTCAGAATCCGGAAGGACCTCGAGGCTCCGTGGCTCCTGGCAATCCGCTACGAGCGCCTTGGGTCATGTCATGTCTGGTACACTTTTTGTCGTCACCAGTCTACAGCTCGTTCCAGTCGAGCCAGGTACGGCAGCGCACCACAGGCTCCGTCCTGCGAAACGTCGCTCCTCTACGAGGATCTGACAGCATTGAGCACCGAGCAGAGATGGGCCATGGCAATGGCTCGTTTCAGGAGCCGGCCAATGTTCCAGAGCCGGGGCTCGACATCATCAGGCCCTCGGAAGCGGCTGCGATGCCGAGGAGGGCTCCTTATCCTTCTGGCTCGCTGCGAGGCGTCAGGAATCCGTGACATTGCGGGCGGTGCTTTGCCACCCGATGTGGACAATGTCCCTGGAGAGTCGGGTAGAGCTTTACGGAAACGACCAGATGAATCCGCCTCGATGCGCCGCCTCGCCGCAGAATGGTTGAGGGGTTTGCCCTCGACTAGCACAGCTATTACGCACGCAGATCGCTCCGAGGCTGTGGTCTCCGGAGACCTCTCAACGGATACCTCCTACGCCTTGCAGGTTGAGGCATGCGGGCTCTACTAGTTCCCTCGTGTATCGTCGTGCTTTAATTGTGGGAAGCTGCAGGTAGACTTGCTTCTCGATCAGCAGCCGGATGCAACGATCTTTTACGAAATCCAAGGGTGTCTCGGTAATCATTTGTGCAGGGTTATTGCGCTTGCTCCCGGAATCTGGTATCGTAGAGCCACTGCGGTGTGCGTGCGTCCTTCAAAGGAGCAGTGGTCAAGCTACCTTCGTTGCTCCACTGGTTCTGAACACCCCTGGAGTGGACTCTCGCTTGCATGCCAGCCTGCACTGATGGAGCTCTTGTGGAGAACATGACCTGCTCAGGTGACGGTCACTGCCTGGGCCGAGAAGCTGGGATTCGACCCAAGTACTCGAACCACGTGCTCTTACACGATCGATGGCCAGGCACAGCTGCAAGCCATGATTGAAAGGATAGTGATAGCAGCAGCCGCTGATGGTGTTACCTCGCCAGAATTGCGAGACTCAGTCAGCTTGTGACCACGCTAGCACCATGAAGCCTGTACTTCGCGGCATCATAGCCTCCAGCTTGTTTCCAGGATATTGCTGGATGTCAGATGTTGCTAACAGACACGATACTCCCCTCTGAACTAGACAACAACCTGTACTCGAACGTAGGCGCGAGCGCGCCTGACGTTGCAGTGGCCGGCACTCGCGGACAGTCCACTCGAAGGCTTTGCAGCTGAGGAGAACGCTTGGCTGGTGTCTTGGTGGCTTTGGCGGGGGACGGGATATGCCATTGAATGGCGAATCGATGAAGCTGCATTGAGGCCCCTCGAGGAATGGAAGAGTTGAGCTTCGACATCGATGTTAGCGGCGTTCCGGTCGACACTCCCGGGTGTCTCGACAGATGCGATAGAACTGCCGTATTTCATGCACACTGTGGTTGGCAGCCAAGCTAGTTGAGGCTGCAGCTGCAGTATCGTCTAGAACGTGGAGCCTTGGGCTTCTCGTCTTGGACAGAGCTCCCGCCAAGCAGAGGACAGCGAGAGCAGAGTTGTCAACATGTGCTGCTGTAACTCTGCAACATGCAAACACTTGGCATCGAACGCCTTCGACGCGCGTGTTTGTGCCAGGACTTCTGCTGAGGGTTGCGGAGAACTTGGAGGTCGACCGACTGATGTTGCCTGCGTGCAGACGATGAAGCGTCGGTTGCTGCCAGGCACCCAACAGAACCACCCTTCTCCAGATAGAGTGGCGGGCCAAGGAGACCAGTGTCGAAAGGGAGCCGCGAAGTCCGCATCACCTCCCCGTAGAATGTAGAGGAGCCTGGGTATATTTGGACTACGCCCGGGTACCTTCGTGTACTCTTCGTGGCGACGCGAGTGGAGGCAATGCTGTGCAGATACGCAGCGGTGACTGTAAGACGCTGACGATGAAAATGACGATGACGCCAAGATGACAGAAGAGATGACAGGAATGCTGATCATTATGTCGTCGTCGGAAGACAGAAGAGATGACAGGGATGATGATCAGTATGTCGTCGTCGTTCTTCTTCTTCTTCTGGTTGTTGTAGTGGTTGTGGTCGTTGTTGTGGTTGTGGCTGTGGTGGTGGTTTTGGTAGCCGCCACGGATCAGACTGGCAGGGTAGCTCGTGTGGCTTTCGAACGGGCTTGGGGCTCCAACTTCTCTAGAGGCTTTGACAAGGCCTCTCTCTTAACCGTAAGGTCAGTTGTCCCCCTTTTTGAGCCATGTGCCACTATTGCTGAGCCAGTTTGCATCTGCCAGGTCCCAATTCCTGGACCCAGTCTCTGTCTAAGACATTGTCTACTGGGCAGGCGGTAGGGTTTCCACCTTCCGCGCGGTGGAGCAAGCTACCTTGTACACTTCGGTTAACAGCTGGTAGTGAAAACAGCGGATGGCGTTGCTTCCAGTGCACTCGCAGAATTTTCCATCCTTGCGCAAGAAGACTTTTCGACATGCATGTCGTCGTGTTATGAATACCCAGGCACCAGTGAATTATCGAGGTCAACCGCTCACTCCGACGCTGCTGCGAAGGACTGGCAACTGTCCTCCGCCACCTTCAGACAATCGGTTGCGAAATGCGCCTACGAGGCGGGCAGGACAGATGAATCGTCCTATTCGAGTCAT